GAATTACCCTTGAAAACAATTTTTTTTTTTTGACAAAATAAAAAGTATAGACAAAAACCTTCTTCGTCTCCCAATGTCTCGACCCTTGGGCGTGATGAGGCACACTCCCACACGTTAAGAAATCAGCAGCAAAAATCCCGCGGGTCCAATGAAATGAATTCAATCCCTGAGAAAAGATTACGATACGATGCCGTGAGGCTCCACATGGTAAACACAAGCAATAAAAACTTGAGTGAAAATCTAGTTAATATTTTATTTATGACTCATAATCAAACTCAATTTAAAACAATATCGATGGTATAGATCTAAATCTTAATTTATCAAAAAAATTTTATTTAAAATAATTTCATTTTTTAATACATAAAATGCATCTTTGACTTTTTTTATTAATCATTCTAATTCATTGTAAAAAAATAAAAATGTAAGAAATTAACAAGTACATAAAATTTAAAATGGATTTAAGTAAAAAAAACGAGGGAAGAAAATGCATGCAGCTAGCAATCATGTGGGCTCTTCCATATGTAACTTTCTAAAATCAATGCTATTACGAGGGCATGTATTTGTTCATATAGGAATTTAATTCCCAATTTTAATTTCTTCTAACTTTCTCTTTGAATTTGCCTCATGGAATTCATGTTGTTCCATTTTGTGACACTCTATTTCACCCTCTTTCTCTTCATGTTTTCAGTCTAAGGAAAATTTTTGGCTAGAGTTTTTTGGTGAGTTTGGCTGTTTGGCTCCTAAGAAAGTAAAGGAAAATATTGATGATAATTAACTGTAATTTGGTGATTAATTGAAATTTTTTGGTGGTTTAGTTTGCTGATTTATTGGTTTTTTTTTTTTTTTTTTGGATGTTGGGTTTGGAAGAGAAGAAAGCAAAATATTGATGATAATTAATATTTTGCTTGGTTAATTAATAATAATGATAAATAATGATAATAATTTCTGTTAGTTTGCAGTAGAGAATTGAAAGTTTAAATAACAAAGAGAAAATTTTGCGGTGATAGCTTATCTATATCCCTTTGCATCAGTTAAATTGAGATTAATGTTTTGTTGGTTTAATCTCAAGAGCTTTACTTTTGAACCTTATTTTGAGTAAATCTTATTATTATGAAGGCTAAAATATATTCTTGTAAAATCTAGTTTGATTGTTGAAAGAACATCATATCCGGGGCAAATTTGTGTTTTGATAACAGATTTAATGCAACAAAGATGTTGGAAAAGCTGAGATATGTAGTAAATACGGCATTGACAAAGACTTGACAGCCATAGAGCACCAAAATAGCCAGAGGACACCTGCCCTCCCCTGTGATGGAACTTGGAAATCCTTGTGCTTGTCGAACCCTGGTCTCCTCAGGAACTTGAGTGCAGCGGTAGCTGTGTCTGTTTTTGTTTCTAGAAAACATATGACATGTGGATGATTCATCTTAATTAGCTCTCGACACTCTTTTCGGAAGGGACCACGTTGAACCCCCTGTTATTCCATGATACAATCTTCATCTACAAGTTGTAAGAGGAGACGCAACTGAATCCTCTGGTTGGGTCGGGCTAGATACTTGGGCTTCAACAATTGGAGAAGGGGGTGACGTCCATCTCAGCTGTACCATCATTTGTAATTGCGTTGTTTCCCATCTCAGCCACTGCTTTTTTCTTTATTTGCTCCGATCAATGCGGCTTCCTCATCCATCAACTCCTCAATTATAGCAAAACGATTTTGTTGCGAGACTTTCGCTCCTTGACTTCTTTTGAGAGCCGCTGATTTCGCCAAATTTTTTGGGATAAATTGTGAAGAAGTAGAAATTTTGGTTTATTGATCTGTAAAAAGATTATATTATTTATTATTGTAAATTACATTAAATAATTTTTTAATATTAATATTCATCTACTAATATTTATTATATATATTAAGAAATGTAAATAAATAGTCTTTCTAAATTATTAATTTTAATTT